TGGCCCTTTGTGTGCTGATTTGAGGACTTCTTGCTGCTGGACTTGAACTCAGCAGGGTTGTCTGGTTCTTATGATGCCCCTGGTGCTGCTCCATTATCCCTCTTCCAGAGGCTCAAGGAGCCTCATTATTTCCCCTGTCAGAGACTCCTCCTTCCAGACAAGGTCCAGCAGACCAGAGAGGCCATGTCCAGGACCTCACAGCTTAGGCAGGCCCTAGGGAATAATGCCAAGGCCCAGTCAAGAACAGGAGAAGGATTGTGCCACCGCCAAGAGTGCCAGGGCTGCAGCCACCCCAGCCTGGGCAGTGGGTGTGGGCACAGGCTGGCACCCAGCCATCAGGAAGAGGAGGAAGGGAAAGGGAGGCTCCTGGACACAGCTCCAGACCCATTCACAGCAACACACTGTCCACCACATCTTGGTGTAATGTTGAGGGTCCCACCTACACCACTGGCAACTTAGTATTTTATTTTTCTTAAACTTTAGCTTCCTTTTTCCCTAATCAGTCTCTCTCTCCCTCTCTCCTTTTCCCCTCCCTCCCTCCCTCTTTGTTTGTTTGTTTGTTTGTTTCTTGCTTGCTTGCTTGCTTGCTTGCTTGCTTGCTTGCTTTTCTGTGTGCATGCATGCACTAGGGACTGACACAGGGCCTCAAATATGATAGATAAGTGCTCTACCACTAAGCACTCTACCCTCCCTTATCTATCTATCTATCTATCTATCTATCTATCTATCCATCTATCTATCTATCTTTCCTTTTGAGGCTGGGGAAATTGTGTATCTACTATAAACATGAAGTTAGTTTACTCCACAGAAACAAAAGGCAACTGGAAGAATTTTTAAAATAAAGTACAAATGGGGACTGGGGATGTAGCTCAGTGGTAGAACATTTGCTTAGTATGCTGAAGTCTCTGGGTTTGATCCACAGTACTACAAAATATAAAAATAAATAAAATAAAAATGAAAAAAAAATCATTCAATTCCAGCCAGATGACATGCTTGTGGAAGGCTCCTGGCCTTGGCCTGCTTCTCCTTTGGTATGGTAGGCAGGGGATGGGCACAGGCTCTGAAGGATAAAGACATCTGGCCCACACTGAATGATCCTTCAGAGAGAACTGGACGGGGAACAATGCTTCAAAAGATGTCTTTATTGCCATCTCAGGTGCCCCCTAAAATATCACAGTGTCCGCCTAGGGCCTGCTTGGGAACCCCCAGCTGGATCCAGCTAACAGCCCAAGGACTTAGAAGTTCCTATGTGCTCCTATGTACAAAATGGCTTTGGCTGGTGGTTGTCACACCCAGGGAAGGCTCCCCAGGGTGTCAGCCTCCTGCAGCCAGGAACCATGGGCTGCTGCAAGATGAGTCTTCACTGGGCCCAGGCATACCAGGGCTGTCCCCACCACTTCCACCAGGTCCAGGAGCAGCAGGCCTGGCATGGGCAGACTGAGTTCCCCTAGAGCAGTCTGGGGATCAGATACCACTTTCTTCCTGTCCTCTGTAATGTAGAAGCTGAAAGTACAGCCAGGGTGGCTTGCTGATTGACAACAGCTCAGAGGAATCATGACTTGTCCTGGGCCATGCATCAGTGCACTGTGGGACTCAATGACTTGTCTGCAGGCTTCCTGCCAGCAGGTCCAGTGCCCTTGTTCTGACCCAATTCAGTGCCCCTTCCTCTATTTGTACTGCCTCCCTAGGCCAGGCCAGGTCCAAATCATACTGCACCTCTGGGCCTCCCAGCCTCCGCTTGAGAGGACCTCTCTCCTACAGAGCAGCCTAGCTCTGTGGCCAGCCTCCCTGTTGTGCCTCTGCACGAGCCCTATTCCACTCCGCCTGTGCCTGCTGGCACTCTAGGCTTTGAAACTCCGTAGAGACAGAACCCTCTGTGTTGGAATCTCCTATACCTGACAGGGTCTGGAAATTTCATCAGGGGTTGATTGCTGGTATTGACAGTCCTCAGGCACGGTGGACCAGAGTGTCCAGCATTCTGTTCTGTGGGTGGTATCTCTTTAGATGCTCACAGAGGCACAGGGCCCCTGGCACCTTACCTCCTCCTTCCACACAAGGACCATGCAGACCAGAGACCATGCGGCCTGTCTGGAGCCTCACAGCTTAGGTGGGGCCTGGGTAACTGAAGTCGGAGCTCGGTCAGGAGCAGGAAGAGGCTGGGCTACAGCAGAGAGCACCAGGGCTGCAGCCACCTCAGCCTGGACTGGGGTTGAGGGGGTGGGGGCTGGCACTCAGCCATCAGGAGGAGGAGGAAGGGAAAGGGAGGCCTGGGCTAATGGGAAATGGGAAGGGGGGCCAGCTGGGCCTGGGCTGATGGGAAATCGGCTTCCCTTTGGCCCTGCCCTCTTGAGCCTGTAGAGAAGCTCCTCCCGCACTCACCTTTGTGGGGTAGTCAGTGCCATTCCTGAATCCCTGGCCCCCATCCTGAAGCTGGGGACACAGAGGTGGACAGGGAGTGGAGTGCACAGATGAGCACAATGTATTGAGCATTGTTCTCTGAGAGGCTCCCAGATGGCCGAGGTAGGGCTGGATTGTCGGGGGAGTGGCACATAGAGAGGCCCTGCAATAACAGTTTTAGGGAAACTGCAAGGAGCTCATAGCATCTGCATTCAGGAGGTGAGATGCAAGGATGAGATTGGCAGAGAACAGGAAGAGGGCAGCTGGGAGGCTCAGACTGGACACTTCATAGGGTGTCCAGGAGCTGCACTCAAATCTCCAGTCTTGAGGGGAAAGGCTGGTGTTGAGCTCTTCTGCCTCCATGCCTGAAGCTGCCAGGAGAGGCTGCCCACCCCTTGAGCCCAGGAGACACTGGCCAGTGGATGCCATGGGCAGAGACCTTGAGGGTGCAGGAGGGCTGTCTGGGCAAAGATGAGGACCCAGAAGAGCCCACATCGGCCTGGCTAGGAGGGTGAGGCAGAGGGGCGGCTGAGCTCACGCCCTCCACCCGCCGCCTGGCCCCAGTTCTGGGCCCTCCTGTCTGAGCTTTTCTGGGCCCTCCTGTCTGAGCCCCACTCTCTCCTCCCTGAGAGCAGACCCCCCCCACCCCCACCCCCCAGTGGTGTTGGCCCTGTGTCCTGGAGAGCAGCTGGAACTGCCATTCTCCACCAGCCTGGCTGTGTGACTGCAGCCAGCCTGCTCCCACTCTCTGGGCCTTCTGGGCTCTGAAATCCTGGAACAGGGAGAGTTGGCTTCTGGCTTCTGCTTTCAGTTTCTCTGATTTAATTCTTGCACTTAAATTGCTTCTTGAGCTACCAGCTGCTGGAAACACATGTGGTAATGATTCTGCTTGGTGGCTGTGAGCCAGAAGGCTCTTCAGGCTGCCCCGCACCATCCCCAGGCCTCTGAGGCATAAGGAGGACTGGAGGGGGTGGCAGAGGGGAGGCCAGAGAGGTTAAGTTGTTGACCTGATGTCAGACAGCAGCCCTGTGTGGATGTGAGGGCCAGAGATGAAGCAGCTGCGGGCACAGTGCAAGGGACAAGCCGGCTGTCACCCTGTCAGCAGGCAGGACGATGGGTGGTCCCTGCTGTCCATCTGTGTCCACACTCTGGCCCATCTCACTTTCTTTCTCCCTGTTTCTTCTCTTCTCTGGAGAATGTCCTCTTTTTCCCTCCTGCAAGGCCCCAGTAGAGCAGGGTGTTGGGGGAGGGAGCCCCACCTGCCCAGTGTGCAGTCAGTACTTTAGCCCACAGCAGGCTTGAGAAGCCAGGGTGGGGACATGAGGGTCTGAGGACCTAGGCTCCAGTCCATGCGGTGCCTGGGGAACTCTGGCAGGCCACCTCCGCTCTTTCTGGACAAAGTGCCCACCCAGCAGAGTTTGCAAGTGATAGACACAAACTTCTAGCCAAGTGGCTTCCACATGGTAGTTGCCAGCAGAGTGAGAGGGGGCTTGGTTGTTTCTCTCCTGTTCCTTTCCCCTTCTGGTCTACTTAACAGTCTCCCAGCCTTTGGTCAGTTATAATGGTGTCCTCCAGTTTTTGAAGCACTATTGTTCCTATTGTAGAGATGAGAAGTAGGGGCTCAGAGAAGTGGAGTGGCTTGGTACGACTGGATTGGCACCCATACCAGTCTTGGTCTCAAACCGTATCAGAAGCCAACCTACCGTGCTTCAGTTTTCCCTCAGGGCTGGTCTGGGAAGGGGGCCTGTACCTCAGTGGGATGACAGTGTCGCCCTGGGCAAGCCCCAGAATGAGCAGGTCCAGGAGGAGTTAAGCTCTTGCAGCCAGATGGAGAATGAGGGAGAGCCTGGCATAAAAGGGACAGTCCTTCAGGTGTACAACTGTCCGAGCACCTGTCAGCACCCCTCTGTGCCATTCCCTGCCCTGCCCCCCACCCAGTTCTTCCCCTCCAGGTCAGTCCTGTCTGTGTCCCACGAATTTGGTAAGTAGGTGGGTACAAGGGACAGGGTACTGGCTGGGCCCCTGTGGCTCCTGGAGAGTGAATGGAGGACTCAGGACCCTGAGCCTGCTTTCTAGAGGATCAGAGACTTTGTTTCCAGGGAAGAATGGTGGCTCTGGGGTTCCTGAAACAGGATTTCTGCCCACAGGGCAGAAATGGGCCCCTCTGGAGGAGGATCAGAGCACATGCGCAGCTGCTTCCCTGTGGGTGTGACACTGGCCAAAGTGCTGCTGGGTTCGGCTGCTAGTCTGATTCAGCCTGGGGAGCTCTAGGGAAGGCTTGTTAAACAAAGGCAGGGAGGGAGATGGGTGTGGCCTGGTTAGCCCTGAGCACTTGGTGGCCTGTGGCCTGGAATCACCTCCAGGCATCAGAAAGGAGAGGATCCCAGTGGAGGAGTCAGGCCAGTGGGCTCCTATCTCTGCTCTGCCTGGAACCAGCTGTGTGACCTTGGGTAATCCTTTATCCCTCTCTGAGCCTCTTCTCACCTGCATGATGGGGATGATGATGCCTGCTTCCCAGGGCTGTCAGGGATCACAGAGTGATGGGTGCACAGCAGGAACCCTGGTATCCCTGAGTGATGAATGTCTTGCTTCCTGTCCTCCAGGTGTTCCTGCCTCCTCTCTGTGTGGCAGCCGCCGCCATGTTCTCGTGTGTGAAGGCCTATGAGGACCAGAACTACTCATCCCTGAAGCGGGCTTGTCTGCGCCGGAAGGTGCTCTTTGAGGATCCGCACTTCCCTGCCACTGATGACTCGCTCTACTACAAGGGTGCTCCGGGACCCGCTGTTAGGTGGAAGCGACCCAAGGTCAGTGTGAGGTGTCCACTGGGGGCGGAGGCAACTCTCCATGGGCTGAGTCTGCAGGAACGTTGGGGTGGCCCTGCCAGGTCCTTTGATGTGGGAGTTGACCTGGAAGGGGAGCCAGGAGACTGGGCCCAATCCCATGGTCCCCTTATCCCTGCCACCCTCCTTTCTGGGGTCATTTTTGGGTTAAAATGAGATGATGTAACCTTTGTTTGGTAAAATGTGGAGTGATATTCAAGTATAAGGAATCTGCTTTCATATTACTATAAAAAATTTGAAGGGGTGGGGATTTAGCTCAGTGGTTTCACCACCTGCCTCACAAGCACAAGGACCCGAGTTTGATCCCCGGTACCAAAAAAATTTTTAAAAAAGATCTTGAAAGTCACTTCCCATATAAATGAATCATAATCATTAAGATGATTAATCAGTGATCATAGTGGTAGCCAGAGGTAATAGTGTCCACCTCATAGGCTTGAAACACAGCCTGGCACCCAGCACAGCGAGCTACTGCCAGGGGAATGGATTGAGATGGACTAGGGGGCCTCTCTTTGCTACTCCAATCTTGGATCCTGGCCCCTGGCCTTGGGACCTGAGGTCAGATCCTGTTAAAATAAACAAAGGGGTGTGGCCCGTGTGTGGTGACTTCCTCCTGTTGAACTCCAGTGCCTTCGTGGGAGGATGGATTGGGGAAGGGTCCTGCTGAGTGGATGTCCCCTGTGGGCCTGGGGGAAGGGGAGACTTCAGGACATGGTGGACCCGGGCTGCTCCCCAGGCTCTACAGCCTTGTAGGAGACCTTGTGAAAGTTGGTCACACTGAAGCGATTTAGTGAGGAAGACCGTGTTCTGCCCGGTCACTCAGGCAGGGAGGGAGCTGTGACTCTTGCTGCGAGATTCTCAGGTAAGTCTCTCAGAGCCAAAGGCCTGTGCAGGAAGCGCTGGGCAGTGGTGCCTGGCAAATGGGGACCTGCAGGCCTGGCTCTCTCGGCCATGGCACGGCTACTGGGGCACAAGCCACAGAGAAGTGAGGAAGACAGACTAGATGTGGGGGACCTTGGCACTGGCCCTGAGGCCATGGGAGCCTTCAAAGACATGGCTTCAGCAGAGACCACAGGGTCAGATTTGTGTCTTTACAGAAACCCTCAGTCTCCCTTGACCTTTTGGGAAAATGAAATTTGGTATTCGAGTTCCTCTCCTAGACTAGGTCTCCAGTCCCTTCTAACCCACAAATCCTGTGCTTTTCTTGGACTAGAACTTTTGAGAGGGAGGGAAACTGAGACTGGGAGGAGAAGGAACACGCCAAGATTGCCTGGGGAGTCCCTGGCAGAGGGAGACTGCACCCCAGAGGCCCTGGCCCTTTGGCCTCTGCCCAGTGAGCTTGATGGAATCTCTGGCCACGCAGGGCCTTGGTTCTCTGGAGCTCCCCAGAACTTCCTGGCCTGGCCACGAGATTTCCACTTCCTGGGTCTTGGCTCCCCATGCCTTCCTCCCTCTCCTTTGTTCAGTGGGTGAGGAAGGAGGCCAGCCTCAAGTGGCCTCTGTGAGGCCCAGTGCAGTGAAGAGCATGGACACTGGAGCTCTTTTCCCAGCTTGTGCCCTGCCCCTCGCTGCCCTCGTCCTGACCCGCTTCCTGCCACTGGCTATCTCCAGACCTAGAGGGTAAAGGCATTTATGACCAGTCCGTGGCTCTGGAAGGAGCCCGGGGAGGCCTGGCTGGGGCAGGCTGGATGGGCTGGTGGCTCTGCATACCTGTGCTGGATGCACTGCCCTCTCTGAGCCCCTTGCTGCAGAAGTTCAAGTCCTGCCAGGTCTCCTCCCTCCCTGGCCCCTACCAGGTACCACCTTCTAGTCTGGGCTGAGGGAGGCAGAGCTGTGCTGCCCTGCTGGGCCATGGGAGCATGTGGTTGGTGATGAGGGAGACATCTGAGTAAGGCCCAAGGGGAATCTATTCTCAGCTGGGAAGCTGTGCAGGGCCTGAAGCCCACGGGTAAACTGTGGTAGCCCAGGGTGTGAGACCATGTGGGTGGTGTGGTGATGACTGTGTGGGTGTAAAAATTGTGTGTGGTCACCGGGTTAGTGATGCACTCCTGTAACCCTTACACTCTGGAAGGCAGAGGCAGGAGGATTTCGAGTTCAAGCCCAGCCTAGACAATTTAATGACTTAGTAAGACAGTGTCTCAAAAAGAATCGGCATACTGGCCCATGTCTGCAATCCTAGCTCTCTGGAGGCTGAGGCAGGAGGATCAGCACTAGTTGGAAACCAGCCTGGGCTACATAATGGAATCTTGTCTCAAAAAACTAAAAGGAAGGGAAGGAAAGTGGAGGGAGGGAGGGGAGGGGAGGAAAAGGGGAAGGAAAAGAAAGAGAGAGAGAGAGAGAGAGATCTGGGAATGTAGCACCATGGGAAGGTCCTGGTTCAATCCCCAGTTCCACACATATGCATGTGCCTCAGAAAAAAAAACCCCAACAAACAACTATGCAGGTACTGTCTACTTCTGAGGACAGGGCCCAGAACAAGGGGACCCCTTGACACCAACAGGGTAGGAAGTTGTGGAGCAGGAAGTGGAAGTCAAGTCTGTCTTTGTCAAGGGTAGGGCCGAACCAGCTCACAGCTATTAAATCCCAGCTGCTTGACCTTTGTCCAGTGAAACTTTTGCCTGAGGCAGCTATGTCTCTACTAAGTCCTACTTCCTGGGTCCTGCAACCCACTGTTTACAAACCGAACAGAAAGCCAGCTTTTTCTACACCCCAGGGAAGCCCACTTCCAGCTCCTCCTCAGCGCTGGATGTTTAGTGGCTTCTCCATTCTGGGAGGTGCTTCTTGGCCCGCTTTCTGGGCCTTCACTGTTCTGCCTTTCTTTCTCCCAAAGTGGAATGGGGAGCCCGGTGGGAGCCAGATAGACCTAGTTCCAGCCTTGACCCTACCTTACTGGAGGCCAGGTGTGACCTTGACCAAGTCACTTCACTCCCTGGGCATCAGGTTCCTCAACTGTAAGTGGGGAGAGTGATTCTTGCTGACTAGAGTTTCTGAAGGTTGAAGTGAAGAGGGTACCCAAGGTGTCAGAGACATGGGAGACGGTGAAAAGCTTCCCTTGCCCATCCTGCCCACCTTTTCTTTGGCAACACAGGATCCAGAGGGTCCCTTCTCTTACTGACACCCCCCTCCCACACACACACACACACACACACACACACACACACACACACACACATTGGACTGGGCCTTGTCCTCTTTGGTTTCCACCCAGGGCACCTGCTGCTGACCCAACCCCTGGAGGCTTATTGGTTTTTGCTGTTCTTTTTAGGACTGTAGCCATCTCCTGCCTCCCTCATAGTCTGGTCACAGAGATAAGAGGCAAATGGGAACTGTCAGCAAACGCTGCAGGCTGGGGGATCCCAAGGGTGTGGACAGGAGCCCACTTTCTCTTCTTGGGTCTGGGCTGTGGTAGGGTGCAGTGTGCCCCCCACCCAGCGCTATTCTGGCATCAGCCTGGGGGGCCTTTGGTGGAATGCAGAGAGGACAAGTGGAAGTCCTTCCAACAGAAGCCAGTGTAGGACTCTCCCTGGATTCCCCCAGCTCAAGCCTGTGGCCCCAGCCTGCTCCCCAGGACTCATGCTCATTTACCAAGGAAGGCTATGCCCTTGGGCTGTGCTGGCCTCTGGAGAGAGCATAGCTGGTGATTTGCACCAGGCTTGGGCTGAGCAGCTCTGCCAGCCCGGAAACCACCCCCTGCTGGCCACTTGCCTGACAGAGTTCAGGCTTTAGAGGAGGTAGCCTGAAGGATGGGGACTTCCGGCAAGAGATGGGGCAGGGATGAGGAGAGGAAGGGCCATAGACTCGGACTCCTAAAAATGCTGTCCTTTGCTCCTGTCCCAGGCAGAGCCCCTGTGTCCTCAGCTGTTGATTCCTCCTGTGACCTTAGATTGTGGGACGGTTGACAGGTGAAGGTGGGTGGAGGAAGAGGTAGGGAGATGGGGGAATGGGATGGTCCTCGGTGCAGGTGTGTGTGTGTGTGTGTGTGTGTGTGTGTGTGTGTGTGTTGCATTCCTGTTGTTTGTGCACCGGGACTGGAAACCTGAATTTCCTGCTGTGCGAGGAGGAAGGTGGCCAGGGCTGTGGCCTGAACCTTGCCAAGCTGGCATAGCAGGCTGGGTAAGAGTTTCCTGCAGGTGCAAGAGGCCATGCCCTAGAGGAAAGTTGAGCAGAGGAGCAGTCACCCCAGCCCTCAGATGGCCTGGCCCAGGGCTCACAGTGGCCCTGTCCAGGCCTGCATGTCACTCTCCTCCCTTCCTCTCAGGGACCCTCTTTGCAGCACCCAAGGAGTATGCAGACCCCGCTCACCCTGGAGATGGGCATAGCCTGGCGAGCCTGGCCCTAGAGCTTTCGGGCTGGTGTGGGAAACCCAAAGGCCAAGCCAGCAAGGACAGTGATAGCAGAGTGTGGGTGACTAGGCGTAGGTCCCCTTAGAAGCAGTGTGTCTCCAGGGGGGAGCCAGACCTTGTCTGAGGGGCATTTGGAGTCCTCATCCTGCCTAAGCCTCCCTGCCCACATCCCTCTCCCCACCTGATAAGAAGGTGGCAGTGTCTCTCCACCCAGCAGCCTCTCTGGTCCCTCTGGGCTTCTACCATCCCAGCTCTGCTCACATGGGCTCAGTTCTGGCTCCTTCTTCTCAAAGGCAGAGACCAACCCCGACCAACCCTGGCTTATGTCCAGCTGGTGACCTAGGACAAGGAGAGGGACAAGTGATGGCCATGAGAAGCCTAGCCCCCAAGGTAGAGGGTGAAGGCCTGGGCTGCATCTCACTCCTATGTAGTGAGACCCCCTCAGCTGGGTGTAGGACAGGGCAGTAAAGGAAGGGTGATTTTGTCATCATAAAAGCTAGCTTACTCAGAGGTTCTAGAGCCCGGCTACCTGAGTTGGAGTCTCAGTTCACAGCTTCTTGTGTGGCCCTGGCACGTGACTGACCTCTCCGTGCCTTGTTTCCTTTCTGTCTAACAGGGTTGTTTGGCACAGTGCTCGGCTCACAGCAGGTGCCTGTTCCTCAGGAGCCATTTCTATGACTGTTCTTTTACAGGTGCCCCAAGGTGTCCTCCAGACTCCAGGTACCAGTGACCTTACCTGGTTTCTCTGGGTTAAACTGGTAACCCCAGGCCTCTCTTGGCAGGGGTAACATGGCCCAGGCCTCCCCTCTCTGCTCCCTCTCAGGCTGCTGATCACCCCAGGTCACTGCTGTGCCCTGGATAGAACCCAGGAGCCCAGAAGCCCAAGGTCAGGCACTCCTGGTTTCCCTTTCAAGCTCTGGAAATGTCTGGACCAGAACCCTGTTCTGTGCTGTGCTTGTCCCCAGGTCCCTCTCGGCAGCGCCACACAGTGGGGAGGAGAGCACTGGTCAGGAGCCCTGCAGACCAGAATTTTCCATCTGTCCACTCCTGACTGTGGACATCACTGTCCCCTCTTGGGCCCGGCCTCCTCTGTGGGATGGGGCAATGGCTGGGGATCTAAAGTACAGAGGCATCTCAACCCCCCCTGCCTCCCCCCTGCCACGGGCCCTGATGATGCCAGGCAGTGGCTTTTCTCTTCCTGTGGCCCCTGTGGCCAGGTCCTCCAGACATGACCTCCATCCTCCATCCCACCTCCCAGCCTCAGAGCAACAGATGCGAAGTCATAGCTCCCTGTGGCTCCAAAGCTGGGCTGACTGTGGTGGGGCTGGGAGATAAAATGAGAGGCAGCAGGAGATAGGCCTGGGCTTCTTCCTCTGCTTCCCCAGAGATAAGGCATGACCTTGGGGACAAGATAAGGGCCACTGTGTCCATGGGTTCCCCTCGCCCGGGGATGACAGGACCGAGACCTCTGCCCTGGGAAAACTGCCCTACCGCACTGCCCTGAGCCATCCTGTAATCCCACCTGCAAGGACGGGTCAGGTCCCTCCCCATGTGCCCTCCGGGGGAGTTACAGTCCTTTCCTTGCCCCTGTAACACTTATTTTTCTGGGCAGAGAAGTCCCAACGCTTTATGTGACCTGAACATCCTGTGCATCGTTTTCCCTGTTGAGTGCTCCACCACTGCACCTCTGTGGAGGCCTCACACAGCCCTGCAGGGATAACAACAGTAGGTCTCCTTTGAACGGATGAGGAAGTGGAAGTGAGGAGAGGTTGGGCCATTGGGCCAAAGTTGCACAGACAGTAAGTGGCAAGCAGGAACTGAGGTTCTGAGTTCAAGGTTCTGCTGCCCTCTGCCGGCTGCCTGCAGTAAGGCCTCAGTAGCTATGATTCTGCCCAGAGCAAAGCTGCTGAAGAGCCAGGCACTGTGGCCTTCCTGTGCCTGCTCAGCCTCTCATCTGTGAGATGGGCATCCTGCCCAACTCTCAGGGCCATGATGAGGATCGATCATGGTACCAGCAGGATACCTGGTGCCCTGAGAGGACTTAGCACCTCCCTCAGCCCTTGTTGTTCACTCCCATGGCTCCATGGAGTGAGATGCTGGAGGAGTAGAGGGGCTGGGTGGGGGGCTGCTGAACACGGGTGGCTCATGCAGCCACAGATGCATCCTGCCTGGCCTTGGCAAGGCAAGGGAACTCCCATGCCCAGGCCTGCCACAGATGGCCTGTTATCCCACAAGGGGCAAGGCAGGCTCTCTGGAGCTGTGGACCATCTGTTCACCTCTGCTCCCCAGGCTAGGGCCAGGGCCATGTGGCCCCTTCTGCTGCCCTGCTCAGATCTATCAGCACCCAGCTCGGGCTGGTGGCACAGTGGGCCTGGGGGATGCCAGGAGGCAGCCCTTCCAAATTGTCTCTCTTTGTGCTAAGGCCAAAGTCCATGGGACCCTTAGGGAAAACTCTGAAGATTCGAGAAGCCCAGGCCAGGGCTCGGACCTATGCAGAGAACAGCTGGTCCTGGAGCCCGCCTTCTGGGCCTCTCCAGCAGACAGCAAGTGGCTTTCAGAAGTAGGAAGGACTGGGCCCCGGGGCCAGCAGGAGGATGTGAGTCATTTCCCTGCCCTACAGCTGCCCCTACCTGGCTCCCTGCACATCCTACAGGGCAGTCCCTCTGGCCATGCCTGCCAGTCTCTATGGAAAATCCAAATGACTTTCTGCCCCTCTTAGGCATTTGTGTGCTGTGTGCCTTTGACAAATCTCTGCCCCTCTCTGAACCTCCATTATTCATCCATAAAATGGAACAGCAGCCTAACTCCGTACTCCTCAGGCAGAGGAGGATCAGCTGAGCACACGAGGGACATGCCACAGGAGACCTGACCCGTCCACTCCCCAGTCTCCCCTCCCTGTGCTCGTCAGGCTCTTTGGTGTCTGTCTCATTCCCACTGCCCACTTTGTTGTGATCATGGGCCTCTCAGCATGGGCTGGGACAGGGAGGGCCACAGGGGAAGATGGTGGTGGCCCGGTTCAGTTCCCTGACATCCTTCCACAGTCTTTGTTCATCATCACACCTTTGGCAAAAGAGTGCTCAGGCCAGGGAAGAATAGGGTGTCCCAGAAAGGACCTGGGCAGAACTGGGTTTGGGGAGCAGACAGGTGAGCCCTGGTCTGCGCCAGACTGCATCCTCCCTGTGTGCTCTGAGGTCCTTTACCTGCTGCAGGGGGCCCTTGTGCTCCTCGGCTCACATTCCCCTGCCTTCTTGCAGGACATCTGCGAGGACCCCCGCCTCTTTGTGGATGGCATCAGCTCCCACGACCTGCACCAGGGCCAGGTGGGCAACTGCTGGTTTGTGGCCGCCTGCTCGTCACTGGCTTCCCGGGAATTGCTGTGGCAAAAGGTAAGCCCTGGGGCAGCTGGGGTTCCCACAGCCCAGTTTCTCACCTTCTTGTGGCAGATGGGACTTCCTGAAAGCCAGCATGAGGGCAGGGGTGGGGAGACGCTGGGTCCCTCAGGATGGCCGAGCATTGGATTTGCCTTCTTGACCCATCAGCTAGGTATCCCCAGGGGCAGGGGCTGGAATTTGTTCTGATGTGTCCCTTCCTCCCCACTGGGGGCCTCCTGTCCCCAGAGCAGAACATATACCTGTGAAATGTGGAAGCCTTCTACTTCATTTTTGGTGTGGAGACATCATTAACAGGGCGCAGGGACCCCTGCCCATTACCTGCTGTGTGCTTGGGCCAGCTGCTGTCCTTCTCTGAGCCTTGCTTTTCCCAGGCCAGTGCGGGTGGTCCAGATGATCCTCAGCTTCATGATTCCTGGTTCTGTGATGCTGGAGTTCTGGACCCCACCCAAAGGATTGCAGTTGGAATGAATGAGCCCTGCTTGAGCCACCTGATCTTTTGTGGCAGCATTTGACAATGGGGCCTTAAATCCAGGGCTCAGAGTTTCTTTCCTGGGGAGGAAGGGAGGCTGGAAAGGAGGCCAGACACATTCGGCAGGGATTGCAGGGGAGACCTGTGTTCCCCTCCCGGCAAATACAAGTCATTGTCCCATTCTCATCTCTGCCCTTCCTGCTCTTCCTGCAAAAGAGATGCAGAGGGATGTAAGAGCCCAGTGTGTCTGAGTCTCCTGGTCTTGGGTTTGATCCTCAGTCTTAGTAAATGGAAGCTTTGAACGTGGTTACTCATCTGCAGAATCGGAGTAGCTGCCTCTCAGGAGGTGTGAGGCTGGAATGAGATGCTGTTACAGCATCTTGCACAGCACAGCCCTCAGTGAAGTGCGGCTGTGATGACTAGCTTTAGGGCAGTTACTCCTAGAACGTAGGGGCGCCCCCATGGAGCACAGCGAGTCTTTCCTCTTCCTCCACTATGCCCCTCTGCCGTCAGAGGGAGCTGTGTCCTCAGCCAAGGCTGGGACTTTGGCAGGTTTCCTGCCCTGTGTCTTCTAAGCTGGGTGGGCATCCCTGGGGCCTGACCCCTGCTGGTCCTGTAGGGGTCAGGAAGCTGCATGCTGTAGGCTCTAATGGCCCTGGCAGAGGCCACTACTGCATCCTATAGGTGTGGGTATTCATGGGACATCCAAGCTGGGGAGTCTCAGAGATCCTGTTTCTTGTGGGCTTCAAGTGGATCTGGATCTGGAGTAGTTCTCTGAGTAGAGACCTGGTCCCCACCCTGCAGCTTCCAGGCTCCAGCCCCCTTCTCTGAGCTCAGTACCAGGCCTTTACCTCTGAGCCCTACTGGTACCTAGGTGAGGACTGGCCTGGGGCTGGAGGTGGCACGTGGGAGCCCTGAAGGGTTGACTCCCCACCTCTGCCTGCCCGGTAATTGCCTGTTTATCTGCCATCTCCCCTCGAGGTGAGCTCCCAGAGGGTAGAGCAGGGCCAGCTTGTCCCTCCCCACTGAGCCTAGTGGTGGCATGCACAAAGAGGGCTCCAGAGAGGTTTGGAAGGAGAGGTCTACCCCAGATTGTTGGACCCAGCTACTGACCTGACCAGCTGCCTGCTGCTCCCCAGTGGTCAGTGGGCTGGAACCATCTGAGCATGTGCAGGGAGGGGTCTCACAGCTGTGCCCCTGGCTGGGCCTGTCCTACAGTCCCCTGTGGCAGCCTCCCACTCTGCTGGTGGAGGAAGGAGACCACAACTCAGTCAGGAGACCTGTCCTTGATGCTGTGCCATCTTCAGCAGCCTTATTTTTATCCCGGGGCTGAAGGTTCCTTCTGCAGAGGGTGGGACCCTAGCCCAGGGGTCTCAAGGTTGCCAGGGCCTGGAGGCTGATCTACAGTAGCTTGGGTAGTGCTGGGGAAGGCTGGGGTAGGGCTGGTGCTCTTGGCTAATTGCACTCTGCCTCTGGGTGCTACTGTGGCAACAGTCCCTGGGTCCCAGAGGAGGCCCCGGGGAGCTCATTACTGTGCTTACGTCCCCTTCTGTCCCCACTGACTGGGCTCTGTTTGTTATCACCCCTCACTTTCTGGGCCTAGTTGCCCTGTAGGGCCTCCCTTGCCCCACCTTTTCTCTCCCTGAAAGGGCAGAGGGGCCGGGAGATGTTCAGCCTGACTGCATCCTCACCTTCACCCTCCAGGCTCATAGTCTGGATGCTGAGCCGCAGGTACAGGTGTGTCCTACTGGGATACACATGTCCCTCCTCCCAGAACTCACCCCTTACTCCTCGTCCTTGAGGCCTTGGGACTCATGGGTACAGGATTCAAAGACAACCAGACCTATGATTCTGGCTGGCTCCCTTGGCCAGTCACATTCCTTCTTTGGCCTCATTGCAACCCAGCACATAGGATGGTGGGAAGAGGACAGGCCCTTAACATGTAGAAGTGGCTCTTACACTTAGATCCCCTCCTGGCCAGATACTTCTTGGTAGTGGGCTCCCCTGCCTAGGGGATCCCTGGTCATTATGGCCTTCCCACCTTGCCTACATGTTTCATGAGGGCAGGGCAGTGGACTTCAGGTGATCAGACTCTGTGAACTTAAATCAGGATGTGACAGTTTGGATGGGCATTGCCATCAGGCCTGGCCTAGGCCAGATCCAAGGTCTATAATGAGCTTGTCTCCCCGGTACCTTGTGCAGCCCAAGCAGGAGTCAGGTCTGCTTCCTGCTCCGCAGCCTGGGCCCAGGGTCCATGCAGGGGAGCCTAGATATGTGCAGGGCAAGAGTTGCAGGGAGAGCAGTGCTTGAGCAGGGGCAGGAGAGGCACAAGATGGTAGGGAGTTTGACTTAGTTCTAGTTAAATGTTTCCCATTCTATCCCTGCCCTGTTATGTAAGCAATCCACATTCACAGTTACTTAGTTCATTCGGTGCTCATTAATGTCCACAGTACACAACTAGATACTGGGGACAGAAGACTTTAAAAAGTATAAAAGGTAAAAAGTCATATGACTATTGTTGCCCCAAAACAACCATACTTGAGGGTTTTCTATATTTCCTTATGCCTTTTTTTCCATTTGGGATTAAGGAGGATTTTGTTTGGTTGGTTGGTTTTTATGCACATTTTTGCAATTGTGTATGCATGTTGGGAGCTTGCTTTCTTGAATTTATTCCTCTGCCCAGCCTTTGTTGGGTCTTCCCAAGTATCTGGCAGCTGAACAGAGGTCTGTGGACATTGGTGGTCCCAGATACCATCTGCATCTTATGACGTCTTCCTGGCCCTGGGCCACAAGCCTCGACACACACCTTCTTTCCATCCCCTCTCCCCAAGGACCATCCCCTGGCCCTTACTGCCCTCTGCCTCCCGCCCTGTGAAGCCCGGTCCCAATGTCCTTCACCCTCAGCCTCCTGCAGGTCATACTCCTCTGTCCAGTCTGCGACTAGGCCTCCCCTGGAGTCTTTATTCCCCTAGATCCTCACTAGCAGAAGCCACCCCCCCTGTCCTCTAGAATCCAGAAATGGGGATCTTCTTTCCTCAAGGACTGCTTTCTCACATGAGTCCAGCCTGCCTGCATGCTTTTAGCTCCCCACTCTCAACCCACTGTTTTGCTGTCCTTTGCCACCCAGCTACCCTGGCCTGTTGCTCTGGCACAAAGGGCCTGGCACTTACAATTTCTTAGACTTTTGTACCCCAAGAACTGCCGTATTCTGAAGATTACTGTGTCCATGTGGCTATTGCATACACTGCCTCCACCCATTTCCCTAGACTGAATTCTTGATTTCTTCTCCATTCACCTTCTTCTCCCGCCTTGGTCATTTGGTTCCATAGCCACGCCCTGGCCTGGAATTTCTCTCCATGGAGGGCTTCAGTCAGAGGCCCAGTTCCCACCTCTCCTGGCCTCTTACCCCCTCCCTAGCCCAGTGCAAACCTGGTCCAGATCTCATTTTCCCATTGGCAAGTACCCCATGCTTGCTCCTCACCTGTGCTCCATCCTCTTGCTGTCCTTGGTCTGGGGCCCTGTGGTTCATCATTTTAGCTGTTCTCTCATCAGTGTCACTCATTCATTCATTCATTCACTCACTATTTAATGAGCATATCTGAGAACCTTCTATGTGGCAGGTCCTATTCTGGGTGCTGGCTTAATGTGATGAATAAGACAGGCACAGTCCCTGCCCTCTTCAGGAGTTATGGTCTAGTGTGGGGACATCACAGACACAAAAACCACGCAAACAGGATAGCTCATTGGTAGAGTGCTTGGGTAAAAGGCTCCGGGTTTAAGTGCCAGCGTTGCAAAACAAAACTAATCTAAGCAAACATATAAATAAAATGCAAAATTTAGTGCTGGGAAGAATAGAATCTCTCCTCACAGAGAAAAGAGAAGCCCCCAACAATAGCTTCTCAGCCAAATTGTTCTCCTCTTCCCTGCTTTTCCAGCTACAAAATAAGATTCTGAGAACAGGTGGCTTAACATCTTCCACCATGCGGCTCTCTCCAGTTACTGCTGATGGCCCCTAGAATTGACCCCAGGGCTTCAGGTGATGTGTTTATTTGTTTGTTTACTTTTGTGGCACGGGGAATGGAACCCATGGCCTCACACAAGCTAAATGAGTACTTACCATTGAACTAGACCCTCACCTGAGGATCTGGTGCTCTGTCTTCCTTGGTGCCCCCTGCTGTTCACTTACCCCACGATACCACTAATTGACAGCCTCCGTCTAGCAATCGATTATGCCTGTGGTCCACCAGACCCCTCAGATTGTTTTCCATTGCTACACCTTGGGTAGTGCCTCTGTCCTGTTTTCTGGGTGTGGCACATCGTGACAATGGCCCCTCTCCCTTACTGCTACCCTCATAGCTGGGCTCCTGCCTCCTCTTGGTCACTGGGGATATAAACTTTCACCAGATTTTTCTTTGGCCTCCAGGCTCCTGGGAGGAGGATCAATATAGATGGAATAGGTGGTGGGGTTTTAGTAGAGGTGAAACCTGCTTATGTGGCTACCATGGGACAAGGCTGAGTCCGGGACCACCAGGTTAGAAGGAGCTGGTCAGTGGGTCTCAAGACACAGCCCCTGCAAAATGCAAATTCTCAGCAATGTTTCTATGCCTTTCAGGTGGTTCTGATGTGCCCTGAAGTTTGAGAGCTTTGGGTCCAGGTGGGAAATGATGGTGGCAGGGCTGAGGTCCTGGCAGTGGGAGTAGAGAGGAGAGTTCCCAGGGGATGTGGGAAGCAGAGTCCACAGACAAGACACACTTCTCTCTGGTCCAGCCCGTACCCCCAGGGGTCTTCCAGTCTGTCCTTACTGCCTGTGGCAGGTGTGTGGTCCCCCTCCCTCTCTGGCTCCCTTCTTTACAAATAAGCAGCTCCCAGCCCAGCTATTGTAGTCAAGGTGGTTGCCACAGCAGTTGACATCAGCACTCTGGCCCCCGAGGAGCCTGTCACCTTCCTGCCTGCCTGAAGCACTGCATTACTGCTTCTATGAGGAGTAGAGAGGAGGTGTTTGGAGCCTCCCACCCTCACATACACATACCCCATTTTAAGAACCGGGTGGAGCAGGGAGTGGTGACAAGGGGACAAAGGGTGGGGACTGGGGAGGCGGAGTCCTCTGGGGCGGCCTCTTCTCTTGGCATCTGAGGCCCCAGCCCACTCAGCTCCTAGAAGGCCGAAGCAGCGCTTGGGCCATGGCAGAGGATGGGCCAAAGCAGCTGGAGATGCCACTGGTCTTGGACCAATACCTGACCAAGCAGATGCGGCTGCGCATGGAGAGCCTGAAGCAGCGTGGGGAGAAGCGCCAGGATGGTGAGAAGCTGCTGAGGCCAGCCGAGTCTGTGTACCGAATCGACTTTATCCAGCAGCAGAGGCTGCAGTTTGAGCGCTGGAATGTTGAGCTGGACAAGCCAGGCAAGGTCACCATCACAGGCACCTCTCAGAACTGGACACCTGACCTCACCAACCTCATGACACGGCAGCTGCTGGACCCCGCTGCCATCTTCTGGCGCAAGGAGGACTCAGATGTCATGGATTGCAATGAAGCTGATGCCCTGGAGTTTGGGGAGCGCCTGTCAGATTTGGCCAAGGTCCGCAAGGTCATGTACTTTCTCATTACCTTCAGCGAGGGGGTTGAGCCTGACAACCTCAAGGCCTCTGTGGTGTTTAGCCAGCTCTGATGGCGGCTACTCCCTGCCTCCCTGCCACTCCTCCTCTGGCCCACCACCCTCCCCCTACCTAGACTTCCGCCCATGTGCATTTCTGAGGACTTTCTTCTAGCTCTCAGCCTGTCCTGGGCTTGGCCAGAGACCCCCTGAGCCCCATGTTCTTCCTCTCTGTGGTGCCTGTGCTCTGGCTCATAGGAAAGGCCCACAGCTCCATGGTCTAAAAGCTGGACCATTCACTGCCACTGCTGCTGTAGATGATAGATGCCTCGCCGGTGCTACCATGGGCGGAGGGAAAGACCACAGGACTGCCTTCCCTGCTTCATTATGGTGGAAACAGACTGAAAGAGACTAAGAGAGAAAGAGACAGAGAGAGAGAGAGAGATCCAAACCACCCGCCATCTGGCTTCCTCCAGGGACAGGGAGACTGAGATGCAGGAGCAGCCTCCTCCTCTGGGAACCCAGCAAGCAGGTGTTTGCTGCCTGCTGGCCATAGCACCCTTTACTGAAGCCCACGTCAGGATTTGAACACCCGGCCTGAGGACCCAGGAAAACACCGCTCCCAGCATTGGGCTGGTGTGATCCTACAACACCTCAAAGCCCTCAGGACATGGGGTAGTGTTGCTGCAGGTTGGTTTTGGTGGTGGGATTAGCTGGTTTTGCAGAACTAGCTCAGGTTCCTGTGACTGCAAGCATGAAAGTGTGAAGGGCAGTTTGTCAAGTTGAGTAAGAAATCTAGCCACGGATACATGTAGGTATATATACTGAGAGAGAATATGTGTGTGCTGTTTTTCATACAGATATATATTAGAGTTCTATACCTGCCCTACACACAAGTCAACCTGTAGATTATCTGTTGAATAATTGCTGTTCATGTGTGGTTCTCAGCAGGGGCTTGGCTGACATGACAGTGGTTGAATCCCCCTTGGTGCAGGGATTCCTTCTGGGAGATTTTGTGATTCACTCAGAAAAGGAGGAAACAGTTTAGTAGAGAGGAGTCCAAAGTCAGGCTTCTGTCAGCTCACTGTGGTGGGGGCAGGTGTTTTGTCCTCCTGAAGCCTCTCTCACCATTTCCCCTGCTGCTTTAGGGGTGCTCTGGTGGGCAGGGAAGGCCTGAGGGACTGGTCCTGCTCATTCATCCCTTGGGTTATGTTCAGAAGTGGGCTGGAGGCAGCAGTGGTGTGACACTCTGGCCTCTGTGGCCATTGGGAACAACCCTCTCACCAAACAGACTAGAAACAGGCTGGGGGCACGGTTATCAGCAGGTTCAATTCCAGCCCCAAGCTTCATTCTCCTTCACATTGCACAGGCCCAGACCCCCTTTTGAGGAGGGGCCTGATCTGCTGCCTGGGTTCAGCTAATAGCCTCTCAACAAGTGCCCCCAACACCCTGTCCCAGAGCCAGCCATGTGTTTTGTCCCTGGCCAGTTGTGTGTCTCAGACATTTCTCCTCCCAAAACAGAGCCAGGGCACTGCCGCTTGGGCCTGAGAACAGTGCGTTGAGAGCTGAGAGGTGGTGGAGCGGAACCATCCCTGGTGGCTGGGGCTGCTGGAGGGTGAGCCCCAGGTGTTGGAGTGGATGCTAGGGGCAGGGGTTGGCTGACGGGTGAGTTCTGGTCCTTTGAAATATACAACTCTGAGTGTGTTGGGGGCATGCTTAGAGATGGCCTTGCCTGCGGCCATCACTGCCTTATTCTCCACTGAGGGCTGGGAGCCCTGCAGGTAGACCCCTGGGCAGGGGCTCTTCTGCCTGTTTTCTTGACCTCCCCCGGCAGCTCTGGGGAGACTCTTGGTCCAGACTGCCTGTTCCCCACCCTGCCACACCCCATCAGCCCCGTGGGGTCCCCAGTGTTTCTGCTGTTCTGCTGTGCCTGCTGTGTGTCCCCAATAAAGGCTGTGTGCCCGCGCCTTGGTGGTATGTCTCATTGTGAATGCTGCTCCCCACTGGAGCTGTGTCCTCTGCCTCCTGCATCCCCTGCCCTTTCCTGCTGCCAGCTTTCAGGGATGAGCCCAGAGCAGTCAGGTGACTGCAGACCTTATATCAGGGTTTCACAGGTCTCCTGATTTTCTAACAATAGCCCCAGACCAGCCTCTGGGAGGGGTATAGAGGGAGCTGAGGGAGGCCAGGGTTGACTGCGCAGGGGCAGATGGAACATAAAGAGTGGCCAAGGAGGCAGTAGGAACAGCCCTGGGCCTGGGTTTAGCCTGGCTTCCCCTGGCCTGGTCACTGATTGGCTGTGTCCTCTGATGGACCTTGACCTTCCAGAGGGAACAGCCTGGTTCTGTGAAGCCCCTTCCTGTCCTGCTCCTCTGGCAGTATTAAACCTATAACCCAATAACACTGAAACTGGCACTGATAGCCACGAGCCAGGCCACACTAGTGCCCCATCAGTCCTTCACACCTCTCTCCTCTCAGCATCATTCAAATCTTCTCTTGTGGACAGAGACAACCAAGACCCAGAGGAGGAGACCTCCTTCCCAGCTTCCAGAGGAAATGGGCTTGTGGATCTTTGACCCCACAACACTGATCCCTGGGAAGGGCCGAGGAGATGTGTCCTTCCCGCCATGGGCTCAGGCTCAGCTAGGTGACTTCCTTTCCAGAGACAGTCAGAGGCCGCACTTGTGGTTCTGCCCAGGAATGACCCTGCTTCAGAGCTCTGCAGCTGTGTCTCACTGCCTCTCTCCTTTACCCCAGAGCCTCCCTCAGCTGCCACCTCAATGCATCCAGAGACCCCTCCCCAGCCCAGCAACCCAGTTTCTCAGAAGTCTCTGCTTCCTGAACACACCCCTCCCCAAGCCTGTCTCCCAGCCACCAGCCCCAGCCACTCCTACAGGTGCCTCTGGAGGAGGGAAGGTCCCATTAGAGGAGGAATCCAGCTCTCCTTGGACAGCAGAAGTGGCCTGGCTCTGTCCCCAGAGCACACCATAGGGAAATCACCCATTTTCCATAGATAACACAAGAAATGATAGGCCAAGGAGACTTGCTACTCCCTGAGCCTCTGCCCCTCAGAGGTAGGGTATCCCAGTGGTGAGGGCCCTAGTCCTGGGCAGCCACTGGCCAGCTGTGTGATTCTGGGCAGCCTCCCCGAGCCTCCTAAAGGTTGAATGAGTTAATATGTAAAGCATTTGAGCTCCACAAAGCTGATGCGACACCCTCTCCTTTGTGCCTGTTGTTACTGCCCCAGTTACTGCTTGTTCTTCAGATTATTCTTTTCTAAATTTTATTTTTATTTTATTAGTACATATCTGCAGTTCATGCAGTTTCTTCAAATTATTCTAAGGAGGGGTCAGGAGAACCTGTAAACTGAGCAGGTACTGGAGGTTCTGAGGTGTGAAGGGAGTTGCCTGAGGTAAACACAGCAGGCCAGTGCCCATGGCAGCAGGGAATGGGGCCTGGAGAGACTGTCAGGCACCGGCCTGGCCTTGTAGTCCCAGAGAACAGTCTTGGGGTGCATTCTCTACCACCCTGCTCAGCTCAGATGGTCAGCTGAGGGGGTGCTTAGCCCTCACATTGAAGCTGGGGAGCAGAGGTCCACGGGAGGGGTCTGCCCAAGTCTGGGGACCTACCTGGGTCTTGGCCTCAGCGAGGGTGGGAATCCACCCTACATGCCCAATCCCTGGGGAGCAGATGGTGACAGCACCCGGTCTTCCTGGACTCTTCCAGTCCCAGCATGAGAACCCTGGGGGATTTGAGACTCTTGGAATCAGAAGCTGAGACCCAAGGAATCTCAGAGGCTCAAACTAGGAGCCCACTGAGTTTCAGGACTCAGACAGGCCTGTGGCCCACCTTCCCTATCTTGGATGACATGGGAACCCCCTTGCAGCCCCCTTACCTCACAGCCCTGCCTGTGTTGCTCAGAAATGCTGTGAGCCAGCTCTCAAGGTCCCAGGCAGAAATTTGGAAAGCCCCCTCTGTGTGTTCCCACATCTGTACACACAGTGTCACAGGTGTGTGTTCACATACAGGTCCTGAGCAGGCTGCCCTCCCTAGGATCCTGACCCTCTCCTCTCTGTCACATGGCCTGTGCAGTGTCTGCATCTGCTGCTCCCCCCGGGGGCTGAAATCCAGCCCCTAGGATCTGGGTGGGAGCCCCAAGAAAACCCAGGAGGTAGAAAAATGGGACACTGTCCTCTTGGGAAGGAAGATAACCTGGCATTCCCCCCACCACCCACCCTGGGGTTACTGCTTGTTGTGCAAGTGCCCACACGGGCACTCCATACACCAAAAGGACAAATCCTATGTGCAGAGCCCTCTACAGTGTTTCAAGTACCTCCGAGGCTATCTACTTTAGTTCTCATGGAGGTAGAGTAGGTAAATGAGCAAATTGAGGCTCAGAGAGGTAGCCTGGTTCAAACTTAAGTCCCTGTCATGCAGGAGGTTGATAATATGGTGTTAAGTAGTGTCTACAAGGTCATCAGCTGGTTGGGAGCCTCACTGTGATCAGCATGGGGGATTTTCCTCTCAGTAAGACTCTAGTCAGCTTTGAAGCTGAGCCGGGCCCTGTCCAGCATGCTGGGGACTGGGGAGGAGTCCAGCTTGGCCCCTGTCCCTATGGAGCTCCTCCCTGTCATTGAGGAAAGGGACAGACTGGTGAGCCAAAAGGCGGCTCCTCAACTGTGCCTGGGAGTAGCCCTTAAGGGACAGGGGAAGGGGATGTGAAGGCAGATGGACCCACACATAGAGGGGTGAGATGCCACAAGGCATCCTGGAGTGGTTGGCAAGCATGGTAGATTTCTGCAGGGCCCACAAGAGGCATGTTGAGGGATGAGGTGAGGACCAGCAGAGCCCACACATAGGGTTTGCACTGCCAGACTGTGTTGTAGTGTCTGTGGTGATGGGGAACTTCAACTATAGACACCACAAGAGTAGGGAGCACCTCCTAATATGCTCCCTATACCCATCTCTTTACGACAAGGCCTGTCAGCTACTCCTCACCCCAGCAGCTTATCACTTCATCTGTAACCAGTTTCATGTGGATAAAGCTGTGAAAGATAAATGCTCATGAAATAACAGTAACCATGATCCAATTGAGATATTTTAGAATAATTCCTTAATGCAGGTGGTGTATCCCTTCTCCACAATCCTTGGGTTCCATAAGTGTTTCAGATTTCAGTTTTTCATATTTTGAAATATTTGCATATGCTTTAGTAGTTGAACATCTCTAATCTGAAAATCCAAAATCTGCAGTGCTCCAAAATAAAAAATTCTCTCAGTATGATGTTCAGCACTCAAAAAGTTTCAAGTTTCAGATTTTTGAATTAGGGACAATCAAATTGTATCATCGAATACCCAGCAAGTGTTCTAATTTTCAACTTGTGCCCCAAATATGCATGCACATTACAGTTTGTTTGAATGAGATCCAAAGATTCATAATTGCAATTAGTTGATTGCCCTTCTTTTTATTTTTCCTTAAAGTTTATTTACAAAAGAAACTGGGTCATTGGTCCCATTGGATTTCCCACTGTCTGAATCTTATTTACGGCACCCTTGCAGTGTTAACATGCTCTCTGCTTCCTGCATTTCCTATAAACTAGTATTTGGCTCTAGAGGGTTTATAAGGTCCAGGGACAATTGTTTTTTGGCATAGTGCTTCATAGATGTCATGTTCTTCATTCTGGAGGTGGAGAATATCTGGTTGTCTTATCTCATGATGGAACCACCCATCAGTGATCATTCCCTAAATTTATTCAGTGGTTGCAAGGTGGCCTCAATGTTATCATTTCTTCCTTGTTTCTTAGCTGGAATTCTTTTCCAGATAGAGACCTCACATCACCCACTTTTTGGTTACCTTGTGGTACAATGTGTAGAACAAAGGCAGGATCAACGCTAAATTCTTCCCCCTGATTTCTCAGTTTCCAAAAGATGAGTTGATTCCTTACCTTCCTCCAACAGTGACTGTTCTGTGTCACCATGACCTCGTAAACTTGATCCTATTGCTGTGTTTTAATCTATTTCATTTATCCTTATCCTCAGAATGGACTTGGAGTCTGAAAGGAACCTCTTCAGGCTACCTCCTGACTCCTTCAACATGACCCCAGGAAGCTTGGTGGCTTCCTTGACTTCTGACATGGCCAGATGTACACTGGTAGGGTGTTAGTGTGTGTACACATGGGAGCACATCTGCCTGGATAGTCTTCTCCCTCCAGCTCAGTACCCCACTGGCAGCAGAGGGGCTGAGCAGTGAGAAGGCTGTGGGGCCATGCCAGGTCCACTGGCTGGGATGCAAGAGGGGAAATTGAAGGGCCGGGGATTTAGCTCAGTGGTTCCGCTGCCTACCTTGCAAGCACAAGTACCCGAGTTCGATCCCCAGTACAAAAAAAAAAAAAGAGGGGAAATTGAGGCCCTTGGGATACCTGACTCTGGATCCCCAGGCCCTGGAGCCTCATTAGCTTCTTCTTGAGCCATAGAGAGCTCCGGGCCAAGCCCTGAGTTTGTCTAATGATCTTTCTGAGGTCCCAGAGTACCTTCTACACCCTGCAACTGCTGCCTGCCTCCCTCCTTCCCCATGCAGTCCAGAGCACTCAGACCAGGACCACAGGGGAGGAAGGTGCAGTGGAGCCATGGGCCCAGCCCCTGCTCCCAGCTCTCTTGCTGGGATCGCCCCATGCATACCCCATCTCTCTGAGCCCTTGGGCAGCTCCCTGCTTCTCTTGGAACTCAGCCTGCCCATCTGTGCAGTGAGGATGATCGTTCCCAGCCTGCAAGGGGCTCATTTTTGATATAGTTTTCTGTCTCGACAGCAAAGTGGGAAGAGAGCAGTTGGGGGAAAGGCAGGCTGGGAGTTTGTTACTTAAAAAGGGCCTAGCTTTGCAGAAGGTGGGGGAGGGGATGGGGGACCAGAAGCAACGGGTCTTGAGCCTCGCTGGTTTTCAGACACAGGATCTCAGGCTCTGAAGCCCAGGTCACCTATGCCTGGGGCAGCCTCTCCCAGCCACATCCCTGGCCTCATCCCCAAAGCAGAGGGGTGATATCGTAAACAGCCCAGCCCTGTGTCTGGCACAGCGCAAGGCGACATTAGTGGCAGTGGTGCCTCTCTCTGGATTAGCATTTTTATTTTCTTGGCCTTGAATGTCCACTAGGGAGCATTTTGCTTTGCCAAATATCCCTGTTGATGGTAGGAGGTGTGTAAACAAAAGCATCTTTAATGAGCATGGGGATGGGGAGTTACAGCTCATGCTGGCCTAAGCTCTGAATTGAAGAATTGAAACTCCTGTCCTTTGCCTGGCTCAGCCTTCGTGCCTGGGGTCCCGCTCTGTATACTGGGGTGATTTTCTTCTAGAAGGAGCTGCTCAGCCACTCTTGGTGCTGTACTCTGTAGTTACCCTGACCTGGGGAGGGGGGCTCGGGGTGAGGGGTTTGCTCTTCCCTGCCCACCTCCTTCAGCCCAGATTACCTGTCTGTCCTGGTATGCTTGGGTCACACCCTATGCCCGCTCTCAGGACACCTGCTTAGACCTACTGCTGGCCTCTAGGGTAGCCCCTCTCGCCCCTCTCTTTTCTCCATGGCTCTGCAGGAGCCTCAGCACTTTACCCTGTGCCTACCTCTCCCATCAGCCTGGGGTTCTCCTGAGGGCAGGGACCAGGTCTAGTGCATCTGGGTGCTCAGTGTCCGGCATGGGTTTGAATCCTGGCTTTAGAGTCACTTCTGTCTGCTCCATGGCGAATGTGTATATTTTCTGGCAGAGCAACCCTAGACAAGTTACTTGCCCTCTCTGAGGCTCGGTTTTCTCATCTGTCAAGTAGGGATGGATGGTAATGATCTACCCTCATGGGGTTATTGTGAAAATTAAATTGAGACGGTCCGTGCCATTCATAGGCCCTGTAAATGATGATGCCCTGTAAATAATAGATATTAGCAGAGTCCTAATCAATGTCTATGAATTTATTCATTAAATTAGCATATGTGTATTAAGCTCACTCTCTTGGCCAGGCCCTGGTGAGATGCTGGGTATATGGTAGTGACCAAGACTGATAGGGTCTTGCCCTCAGAGAACTGATGTTCCAGGGGGTAGTTTCAGACATTGAACAGTGTCAGTGGGGTATTTAATGTATTTAACTCAGTAAATTCAAGTATCTCAGAGGAGAAGTGCCAGGGGCTGTGACTCTGGTGGATAGGGCTCTGGCCTGCCCTGGAGGCAGGGAGAGCTTCCTGGAAGGGGAGGATAGACATTTAAGTGGGTGGGTGAAGAGGCAGAGCAGACAGCTGGGGAGCTTGTGGAGCAGGGAGCTGGGTGGGGCTGCCACTGGGAGTAGAGAAAAGCGGCTGTGGAGGTGGGGACATGATTATGTCGTTCTGCTGCTGTGGGAGTGGCCAAGGACACACGTTACTGCAGATGCTGTTACAGAGGTAATGGGAGCTTGGGCCAGCATGGTGCCAACAGGATGGAGAGGAGGAGAGAGGTTTCAGAAGAATGCTGGGTCTAGAGCAGCCTGCCTGGAGGGCACAGGGAGAGTAAGGAGGCCAGTGCAGAGAAGATGGGGGAAAGATGCAGAGAGAGGTCCAGGCGGGGGGGGGGGGGGGGAGCTCACAGGGAGGCATAGCTGGAAGGGACCTCAAGGAGCCCCCAGCCCCTGCAGATTTGGGGAACCTGGTTCCAGGAGAGGAGACAGGCTCACTGGGTCCCAGCTGCTTCATGACCCAAATGGGGCACAAGCTAATACTCCTTCTCATTCTGGTTACTCAAAGGCACACCTCCCTATTTCCTCAGGAGCCACATATGCCACTCAGTGTGTCCCCATCCTGTTCCGCTCTCCTCATCTAGGTCATCCCAGACTGGAAAGAGCAGGAGTGGGACCCAGAGAAGCCTGACAACTATGCTGGCATCTTCCACTTCCACTTTTGGCGCTTTGGGGAGTGGGTGGACGTGGTCATTGATGACCGACTACCCACAGTCAACAACCAGCTCATCTACTGCCACTCCAACTCTCGCAACGAGTTCTGGTGCGCCCTGGTGGAGAAGGCCTACGCCAAGTAGGTGACACCACAGGCAGGAGGTGGCCAAGCTGGGTGGTGCCACTGAGTGCTCCCATGGGTGTTTCTTCGGCCGGACCTGAGTTGGGTGGGGTAGAGGCCTGGACTCCATGACAGAGGAATAGTTACACTTGTTTAGAGAGCAGACTGGGCCTGGGCAGGGGTCTTGTGGGTAGTTGGGACCATCGCTCACATACATGGCCATGGGCTTTGCCCAGAGGTGTACACTGCCTGCTGGGCCTTCTCTGTGGGGGTGTGGGAATGAGATTGGCCTAGACTTTGAGAAGTGGACCAGATTCCTTGCTTGTATCCCTCCTTCATTCATCTAGCTGACTATCTGACTGTCCATCCTTTCCATCTTTGCTGACTCTCCTCTTCTCTATGCCAGGCCCTGTGTTCCCAGCACTCAGTACAAGGCATGGCACAGAATGGGCAGAGCAAAGGTTTGCTGAGCCACGGAGGATTTGGGGGCATAGTGACCTGCCCAGGCCCTTGCACAGCTTGGGTCACAGGAATATCAGTGGGTGTTGGAGACCAACCTAGCCAGCTCAGTGGAGCCTCTTCCAGGCTCCTCCTCCCAGGCCCTCTTGTCAGTCTCCTTGGGGATGGGGCATACAGAAAGGAGGAAAAGGAAAAACAAAAACTCCTAACAGCAAAAAGGAACCCAAGCAAACACGCTAGCAGGTTCCATTTTTAATCCTAAAAAAAGCAAACCCTGCCCCCTGGTGGCCTCTGGGTCCACTACCCTTGATGTAGCCACCCTCCCTCTCCTGGGGAGCTGACTCTGGGCCCACTCTTGTTTGGTTGTTTTGCTTTGTTTTGAGACTGGGACTAGCTGTGTTGTAGGCTGGCCTCAAACTCTTGGGCTCAAGCCATCCTCCTGCTTCAGCCTGCTGCCCACTCGCTGTGCCCATCTCATTTTTGTTTTTTAAAAAAGTTTTATTATGGTAAAACATAAATAACACAGTATTTTTCATCTTAATCATGTATAAGCCTGCAACTTAGTGGCAGGTCATTAACACAGTGTTGTGTACCCTCTCCACCCTCTGTGCCGAAAGCTTTGTCATAGTCCCCAGCGGAAACTCTTATTGATTACACAGTAACTTCCTCACCTGTCCCTTCCACCACC